TGACAGTGAGGGAGGGGGTGACTGGTGACAGAGGGAGGGAGGGAGTGACTGGTGACAGAGTGAGGGAGGAAGGGGGTGACTAGTGACAGAATGAGGGAGGCGGTGACTAGTTGCAGAGGGAGGGGGGTGACTAGTGGCAGAGTGACAGAGGTAGGGTGTGACTGGTGACAAAGTGAGGGAGGGAGGGAGTGAGGGGGTGACAGAATGAGGGAGGGGTGACTAGTGGCAAAGTAAGGGAGGGGGTGACTAGTGACAGAATGAGGGAGGATGTGACTGGTGACAGAATGAGGGATAGGGTGACTAGTGACAGAGGGAGGGAGGTGGTGACTTGTGACATAATGATGGATCGAGGGGGTGACTAGTGACAGAATGAGGGAGGGGTGACTAGTGACAGAGTGAGGGAGGATGTGACTGGTGACAGGATGAGGGATAGGGTGACTAGTGACAGAGGGATGGAGGGGGTGACTAGTGACATAATGATGGATGGACGGGGTGACTCTAGCGGATTGCATTAAGGCTGTCCTCAAAATTCGTGTATTTTAATATGCTTTCGTGTATTGCTTATTCCATGTATTCACACTGTATACAGCATTCGCCTGATTGTTCGGTAAAATCACTCCGTTTACTATACAAGTGAAACTACCGAACAATCAGACCACCCCAGGGATAAGTGTGCCTCTCATCACCGTTCGCAACAATGTTGCAAACCCCTAATTGGCAATCGGTACTTTGTTCTATGGGTGGCCGCCATTCAGGATACGAACACGTGGCGGTGGCTATCTTAACTCCCGAACTGCGGTGTTTGGTCGTCGAGTGTCTGGAACCCAAATCGGACACTCAACCAAGCAAACCACCGAGGGTGACTGGTGACAGAGTGAGGGAGAGAGGGGGTGACTGGTGACAGAGTGAGGGAGGAAAGGGGTGACTGGTGACAGAGTGAGGGGGTAACTGGTGACAGAGTGAGCGAGGAAGGGGGTGACTACTGACAGAATGAGGGAGGGGGTGACTAATCGCAGAGGGAGGGAGGGGTGACTAGTGGCAGAGTGAGGGAGGGAGGGGGTGACTAGTGACAGAGAGAGGGAGAGGTGACTAGTGACAGAGTGGGGGAGGGAGGGGTAACTAGTGACAAAATGTGGAAGGGGGTGACTAGTGGCAGAGGGAGACTGAGTGGAGGGGGTGACTAGTGACAAAGTGAGGGAGTGGGTGACTAGTGACAGAGAGAGGGAGACGTGACTAGTGACAGAGTGGGGGAGGGAGGGGTGACTAGTGACAGAATGTGGAAGGGGGTGACTAGTGGCAGAGGGAGGAGGTGACTAGTGGCAGAGTGAGGGAGGGTGTGACTGGTGACAGAATGAGGGATAGGGTGACTAGTGACAGAGGGAGGAAGGGGGTGACTAGTGACAATGATTGATGGAGGGGGTGACTAGAGACAGAATGAGGGAGGGGATGACTAGTGGTAGAGGGAGGGAGGGAGTAACTAGTGACAGAGTGAGAGAGGTAGGGGTGAATAGTAACAGTGAGGGAGGGAGTGACTGGTGACAGAGTGAGCGAGGAAGAGGGTGACTAGTGACAGAATGAGGGAGGGGGTGACTAGTGGCAGAGGGAGGGGGGTGACTAGTGGCAGAGAGGGAGAGGTGACTAGTGACAGAGTGAGGGAGGGGTGACTAGTGGCAGAGTGAGGGAGGGATGACTAGTGACAGAGTGAGGGAGGGAGGGGTGACTAGTGGCAGAGTGAGGAAGGGAGGGGGTAATTAGCGACAGAGTAAGGGAGGAAGGGAGTGAGTGACAGAGTGAGGGAGGGGGTGATTAGCGACAGAGTGAGAGAGGGAGGGGGTGACTAGTGACAGAGTGAGGGAATGACTCCCTATCATCCCCTTGCTCCCCATCTTCCCCTTATTTCCTACCTTATTTTTTTATTTTGCCGTTCCAGAAATGTTCACTCACAAACACAGAGCAGATGCATGGAATATCTGTATTAGCTGGCGGCTGCACGAACTCATGAAAGGACTGTTCCATCCAGGATCGGGTGAATTCTGATGTTTGATGTTTTAATGTGATTGTGAAATAAATCATTTTTATCTTATTGGCTGCAGTGGACATCTCAGCATATTTGGGCTATTTGAAGTGGAGCAGGCTCATCTGCTCTGTGTTTGTGAGTGAACATTTCATGTAAAATACTCACAATATTTTAACTTTGCAATACTTCAATATATATATATATATTTTTTCTATGTATTATCATTTGGAGCTAAGATTTCCTTCAGATGTGTTATTAGAGTAAGTTAAATATTTATATATATATATATATATATTTGTTCACTGGATCACTTTCAAGTGGTTTATTTTGCAACTTGCACTTTTTTATATTATCATATATATGAATATATGCACATTGCACTTTTGAAAAGAGGAAAGATTTGTTTCACTTTATTTCACTTAACTTATGATGTTAGATAATTTGCACTTTAACCCCTTAAGGACCAAACTTCTGGAATAAAAGGGAATCATGACATGTCACACATGTCATGTGTCCTTAAGGGGTAAAATTTTAGCGCACCTTTTTTTCTGTTTTGATTGCAACTTTGTGTTTTATGAGCTAATACACTTATAGGTGCTGCTTTATTTATTAAGGTTATCACTATTCTAAATAAGCGCCATTCTGTCACTTGTTGATTGTATTTCTAAATCATGGTTAAACATACATACAGCGTAAATTCCAGGTTTAATTTACGTTTTGTTTTGATCAAAACATGTACAATTGACTTCGTCATCAAGGGGTTAATTACACACACAAGGCTGTTGCAGGCTATTAGCAGTGTAAAAGAAAAACAACTCTAACTAAAACAAGAGAAGCTAGGAAATGTAGACTATCTGTACAGTCTGTTTATTAAGCCCAAGCCACCTCCTGGCTTTAACTCACTCAGTCTCAATGGAAAAATTAAAAAAAGTTCTTGACCATACATGACACTACAACCTGGTGTCTCTTCATAGCTAACTGCTATACTAAGCATTACAGAATATACTGCACTGAGAGCTCTGGTTCATATAGGATATTCTGTCTATCTAGTCCACTGGCAATTCCCTGTGAGTAATTACTCTACAGTGGACGATAAATAGACACAAACTCCTTCTTGGTAAATCACAATAATACTTTATTCTGTTTTATAGAAAGAATATATCGCAGTTCTCTACATGACACAAAAACAATCAGGGACATGAGAGGCCCAGGGGAAAATTTGTATCAATTATAACATGGTAACTCTCAAATAACAGAGTCTAATTTAAACTACAGGTACAACAGAAAACAGGTCATGGTACTAAAATTATCAAACTCTAATTAACAGAAGGCATCAGGTACAGGTAATTCCAGACAGAGAGGGGATGACGACAATGAATCCATCTAAGAGATCCCACTCTGTCTCCCTAATTGTGTACAGAGGATGTGCCTGCAATGGGGGTACACCATCAACCATTGTCCCTGACTTATTTACTGTGACACAATGTAATCCTGCAGAGTCTGTGTTACCTTTAGATTTATGCTTTGTACATAAAGCAATAGGGGGACATGGTTAAGGTCTCTTGCACCTCTGGCCATACAAGGGACAGCATAGGTCTGACATTATGACAGACCAGTAACAGAACCATTGTGCTGTTACAGTCCTGTTCATCACGGTTTCATTTTCAATCAGCACAGTGTGTTTACTTTATAAGTTCTTATCTGCTTCTCTATAAATAGAACATTAATCACACACAGGAAATGTCTTTACAGGAAATGTTAAGGGAGACTGTGTAAATGACATGCAGGGAGGTGTGCCTATAGATTCCTAAAGACCACTGTCTTTAACTCCTAGATGGCAGAGAACTGAACAGATAGACTGCAGGGACATGATCTACACAAAAAAACTGCTTCATTAATCTAACGTTATTTTGGTGACAATAAGGTCCCTTTATCCTTGATATAAATAAACGATACTTTATATTACAGAAATGTTTTTAATAAATATTAAGTAAAATAAAATAAAAGCTAACTTATTGCATTGCTTAAGCTTAACAATAAATCTTTAGAAAGTCATCCATATATACTTAATTATGTCTGAGTTTTATCTTTGTCATTTTCTTCCAGTAAATAAAACTGAGTTAAAAGGCTTTTAACTATATATTTTGTCACAGTAGATGTTTGCTACTGTAAGCTTAATATTCTAGTGCTCTACTTGATTTTAATGAACTTTGTATTCCATGGGCTCTCTATATCATTTTATAATGACTGCTCATATTTCTGTAAAATGCAAAGTAGAAGTGCTCCTCGGAAACTATCAAGACAGTGGGGAATAGTCTTTGAAACTATCAAAAGTATGAAATGATTTGTGGCAGTTTTTCAGCATTATATGCGTGCAAATTTAATGAAGAGCTTCAAAGCAAAAAAATTATCCAGGAAATAACTTTAGTGTTAATCATATTCTTCAAAATCACAAAGATTTCTTTAAATCCTATGAGAATTATGGATTTGTAATGCCCTCCTTTTAGTTTAAAGTGCAGAGGGAAAGCTCAGAAGCTAGTTTACAAGATGCAGAGTACAAGAATCTTGGGGGGGGGAAATGGTAGCTGTTAGATTATTATATTATTTATTGAATGCCAATATATTGGCACTGAATTAAAGTGAGTAAATAAAGCATGCAAGTAAATGTTGATAAAGTAATTTAGGCACGCAGGAATAAGGATGTGGCAAGGGATACACAGACGAGCCAATAATATACATGCTGAACCTGCAACTAATCAAAATGCACATGAGACTCCAGGACCACTGCTAAATATAAAACTAAATTATCTGCAGATAATGAATCAAAGCTAGGCATTTATTATAGATGTAGAAGTATTTATAATTAATATAATACATATAAATATAAGCTAAAGATAAGGTACATGTAACAGATAAAATATTACATTAATAGAAACTATTAGGATCTTTGAAAGAAGAAACATCCACACAGTCTAAGCAAAGAAGTGCATGCTGTGATAATTGTAGATTATACTAGCTTTAGTATAACTATAATCTTAATTTTATTAATGACAGGAGGCGAATATTTGCTTAAGTCTCTCTTTACTTGAACTCCACAGCAGCACATTAACAAAAACAAAAACACCAGAGACCAAAAAATCAGGAATCTATAAAAGGCTTCTCTTAACTATTTTCACTTTCACGCTGCGACAAATAAAGTACATGAACAATACACCACAAATACAATAACAGGAGAAACAAACCTAACATAACGATGAATGCCATCCGAAATTGAAACCGTGGAACCAGTGGGTGAAGCCTTGACCTTTATCCTGTAGAGTAGTCGGATCTAAGAACTGTAGCCAAACCATTAAACTGAAACGAGATAAACAGAGTCGAAAACACTGATTAGCGAATGAAATGTACTGAGAAAACATGAATCCCCATCGTAAATACTGACAGTATAATATCCCAGATAGTGAAAATACCTGAATCCCCATCATAAAATACTGACGGTACCATATCCCAGATAAACCTCAACTCCCCCAGATAACCAACCTAGCCCAGGAGACCAGGTGAATAAACAACAAGTCAGTCAAACCAACAAACAACAAGGGGAGGGAGAAACTGGGAGGTAAACATTCGCTTCCTGTCATTAATAATTAAAATATTAAGATTATAGTTACACTAAAGCTAGTATAATCTACAATTTTATAGCATTCATATTTGCTGTTTTAACGCTCGGACAGCAAAGACCAAAGAAACACGATCCGCCGTACCAACCTAAACTCTGCGAAGAAAGCTCCTCAAAACCGGCAGGAAAGCGTACGATGTCTTGGAGAAAAATGCCCACCGTGTCGGTACCTGAAGTCACCGTGTTACGGACTGAAGTGAACCGAAAAACCCTATATGCCCCGCCAATGCCAACCACAACCAAGCGGTACATGAAGCGCGAGAAAAAGGGAAGAACCATTTTAACAAACGGAGATGTCGAACACCGCCTAAAGGTGGGAGTGCTACCAAAGTAAGAATATGACCCTCAGGTCCGACTAAGGCTGATAGACAACTACAGTCCAAACCGCCGAACCCATCTGAAAGAAAATTAAGGTATACTAACGGAAATAAATCCAGAATCAGTAAATGGGCAAAACCCGACAGAACCCACCATAGGAGCATGACAAAAATGCATGTACCCCCTGGGGCGATGAATACCTGTCCTCAGGAATCGTAAAGGGAGTTCTAAGCAGAGCGAGGCCCGCCGACAACAGTTGTACGCGCTACCTTATCTAATTAATATGGCAGTCCCCGGTAATAAAGTGACCGAACAATACCCGAACCCTCTAAAAGTGGTAGCAAATTAGGAGATCCGTACCAGACCTAACTACGTCAGGGTCGCCATGCAGACCAAAGTCTCACAATCCCCGAGATCAAATGAGCAAGGGTCCAGGGAATCCAGGAACTAGGTTCAACTCTGCCGAAGCGGAGATCATAATTCCAAAGTACCAGCAGACCGAGGCACCTGTAGAAAGGCCCTGAGCCCAAACAAACGGAAGAGACTCGTCCGCTTCTCCGTGTCGAACACTCCTGGAGGGAAGCGTCCATTGCTGAGCAAACGGGTTTGTCATTCAAACGAACTGGTCGGAGCCTGATGAGTCCTCCTCCGTGGACTAAAGTCTTGATGCCGGGTCCTCCCAGAGAAAACTATTCCATACGTATGAGAACTCGGGCAGAGGTGAGCGTAGAAGGCACCCCCTTGCGTCCAATCTGCCCTCCAGGACTCTACTCCTTGAGATGTAGAGGAGGTTGATATTTCCCTGGTTGAAAACGAAATCCAGGGACTCGAACAAGGGAAAATGCAGGGAGCATCTGACCTTTCCGTCTGGGAGGTACCTCGCAGGGGTTCCGGCAAGCCCGTCCAGGGAGACCGTAGAGCAAGATGTCCTATATCGATGAAGAATCGCGTCCGGGTCCCAACACGTGGAGAACGAGAAATATCTCTTCAGATAGTTCTGGTATTCCTGAATGTCCTCAATTCCTCCCAACCTGCCAACCTGGTTGTATTGTCGTCCAAATGACTGATGCACAAGATACCTATCTCACCAGGGAGAAAATAGAGGCCACCTTACCAGAACTGGGCCCCGCGGTCCCTAGAAGTTTCTTGAGGGCCGTGTCTAATTCAAAGTAACTAATGAATATACGTTCAATCGTAGACTTGTGCTGGGACTCCGAGGGGCTCAGATCCCTTTATCCCAAGCACCTCCAGTGGTCCAAATTGCGTTTAGGATAGGATCGTCTGCCACCCCAGACTCAGTGCCCCGTCTGGGATGTCATCCGAAAGTGGAGGCAAGTGTGAAATTCCGGGTCAAGGGTCCAATCTCCTATAGAAGGTACGGGTTGGAGCTGTTATAAGCCTCTGTCAAGTATTTCCATGTAAAAAAGGACACATATTATACTTCCTCGTATGTTCCGCTAGCACAACTCACTCGTGTAGCGGAGAACAATCATCTTGCCAGTGCGGACTTAATAGTATAGGCACTGCAGTGGGTGGCACTCAGGATCTCCTCGGTGCCCCATTGGGGTCTAAGTCTGGGTTTGCGGCTACTATGTATTTAAATGTCTCCATCATATCCCTCCGTCTCGTCTTTCCTCCAATACATGTTAAGATCCTTTAATCTTTCCTGGTAAGTTTTATCCTGCAATCCATGAACCAGTTTAGTGCAATCCATGAACCAGTTTAGTAGCAGCACAATATATAAAGTACAAAACTTACTACTAAAAGTGATAAATGCATATACACAGGCACATGAAAACAACCTGGGCATGAATAGGAAAAAACATGAAAACTAAACATGAAAACTAAATAGTAGACAAATATATGAGGATACTGTATATGCTCCAATACAGGCATTGCAAAGAAATACCAGCAAATAGATAAGTCACATAGATGTCCCATAAATGCATTAAAGTGACAAACATAAAGCAATAATAAGATATCCCAAATGTAAATCAGTAAGTAAATTGCCACAAATCAGAGCCACAAAATAAAGTAATACAACTGCAAATCACACAAACAGTATATATATATATATATATATATATATATATATATAAATAGCCATAAAGTAAAAACAAAAGGTCCAAATAAGTCACGATTAATATAAAATAGTAAAATGAGGTATGACACAGTGTAGTAAAGTCCACTAAATAATATATACATATAATGTTAATGTGTTCATTTAAATACATATTAGATAAGATATAAATTATATTTATGCAAGGACCTGCTGGAAATTTAGAATAATAAATAGACTTGTGCATTCAGTTTGAAACTAATTGGGATCTGTCCAAATTTTTGACTGGCTATTCAAATACTCTAACTCCGAAATACTATATGAATGACTCCCGAAACAACATGGACAATAGACAACAGTTTTGTTTTGTGATTCAGAGTTCCATCTATTGCCCCCCCAAAAAAGAGATTATTGGTAGGTGTTAAAAAGATGATTGATAGCAAGGGAACAACCACTAAATATTTATTTTATTCACAGGTAAAATAAGAAGTTACCAATTTAGGAGAAAAAAAGACAAGCAGTAATTAAAAACTATATTGATATATTGTATATTTAATAAATATATAACATATTGGTATTTTTTACTGTATCTTCTTTTTTTCTCTGTTGGTTACATCTTATCACTTCATCTTTGAACCAAATGGTGACACAATGTGCTTATCAGAGTACTGCAAAATATAAACATAATATTTCATTATGTATACATTTTGCAGTACACTGACCGGCTATTTTCATGCCTTTTGGTCTGTCTGAATTGCTTTTCTCATAATGATTTCACAGGCAACTTTTTCCCAAATCAAAATGTCACATGGGCGAATCCTGACACACACAATTTGTTTCTGGACTAATCAATTCGGCCAAACATTTTTTTTTTCCGCCATATATAAGTCTGGGTCACATACGTAAATAATGGTAATTTGTACCAGATTCAAATATAGATAAATGGAAAAAAAGAAAAGACAAAACGTTAATTTTAATTTAAAAAATCAAACAGCACATAACATAAGCAAATATGATATCTAAAAAGAATGTTTCCACTTGTTTGATCTTTGGAATATATTGATTGACATAGGAAGCAAATAAAGTTTTGAATCTTTCCAGGTCAACTTGTGTACTTCCTTTATATGGATTTTCAATAACATATATTCTAATATTTTATCTTGCAATGTTAATTCTTTTTTGCTTTTCTTCCTTTGTTTAGATATAAAGACTGACCATTTTAGTTGGTTCCATTATTCCAATGGCCTAAGAAAGAAAGAACAAGAATGAAACAACATGTTTATTGATTATAATTCACAAACTATAAATGTCTGCAATGTTATCTGAAGTCATTCCAAAGTAGTTTAAACAATATTGGAGGTTATGTTTGTTTAGTGGTTTCATTATGAAACCACTGTGCCTTTATATATTGTCTTTTTACACATTATTAAATAAAAATATTAAGTCTCTGTTAATGCCCCTGAAATACTTTTGTTTATTATCAGCACTCTAAGGGTAAGACTAATGCTGAAGCAAATAAAACAAGGAAAAATATCTGCTAAAAATGTTGCTTACCTAAGCTTCTGAATGTGTCTTTGTATTGTTAGTTAATTAATATATTAATTAAATGCATGCATGTTTTAATTGTGGGTGTGACGAGAGCAATCTCGCCACATTGCATTGGAGAAGGCTAGTTGCTCGCCTGTTGCCTTTGGATTATAGCCCCATGTTAAAAGGCTTGATTTTCCCCTGCAAAGACAAGAAAGCCGGGTCATTTGGTGCTTGCCCTGTTTGAGCAGTGATACCCCAGATAGCTATGCCATGGAGCCCATTCCTATAATGAAAGACTATGGGAAAGACTTTGGCTCCATGGCAATTGAACTGTATGTGTGTGCTCTGAGCGCCATTTAGTAATAATGTGCGCTCAGACCTAAGCTATCTGGGCATATGTTGCATGTCTGTATTTTATGTCATAAATGTAACCTTGTGTATTTTATTGTATTTTACTGTCTTTTTGCTGCCATGTATTCAATGGAGTTTTGCCTCTGTCTTTGGAGATAATTGGATTACTTCTAATTATCTCCAGGATAGAAGACTCTGTGGAACTGGTTTTGGGCAGAAAAGCCATGCTTCCTGTGGTCACAAAGGACTACGATCTATCTTTTGAACCACTGGACCAATTTGTATGATTTTGACGTATGTTTGTATTTGGAGTATGCTGATTCTGAAATGTAAGTTTTATGTCAATGTGATGCATACTTTTCAAGTTATGAATAATGTGGAAAAATTGCGGATGCCCTTCCAGGTATTTCTCTGCTTGTGCTAAATTACATTACCCATTGTGTAAGGTAATTGAATCACAAGCAGAGGGAAGGAATTTGTGTGTGAGTGTCTGAGTGTATTGTATGTGTTTATTGGTTGTGTTCCAAAGCCCTGTGGGTGGTACTAATGTGTAAGAATGTGTACATAAGCACAATAAACCCACAGCTCTGTCTGACCACTGCTTGACCTGCAACATGGAGCCTTGTCTCGTCTTTGGGGGGGATTTACTGAATGCTGATAGAGACTGATTGCTAGGAGTGTAAGCCGCTTGGATGCTTTTCCTATTCGTCTGGTAGCAGCGATTCGTATGGTTCCTGTTCGTGTGTTTGGAGTGCTATATTGGATGCCGTTCGGAATTTTGGAGCATTCACTTATTGGCGGTTCGTGTGTTTGGTGTTCTACAATAGCTGTGCCTGCATCTCTGGAAAGGGAGACGATCGCCTAAACGTTTCCCCCCCCCCGTGTGTGCAAAACTGTCCGTTACAGTGGGTATATCTACTTAATATATATTTTATTTGGAAAATAAAAAGAGGAATTTGGAAGCAAGGGGATACACTCTTATAGGGGTTAACCCTTTGGAAACTACAGCAGTAGTGGAGACAAGGAGAAAAAGACAGTGAGTGCCCCTAAATATTAAAATATAGCTTTTAAT